CCAAAGAGGATCGAGGGGTCCCTCGTCGCCAGACGAACGCCGGAAGCTCCGTCGGCGGGCCGGGTGTCAATAGAGCACCGTGGCGAATCGATACAAGCTCCTTAATCGCCTTAGTCCCGGCGCGGATTCGCGGAAATAAACTGCGACGCGACGCGGCGTCGTTCGCCGAGCAGAACCGCTCGCCTTTTTCCAGGGAAAGCTAATTTATTCGAAGCAATGTCAACTGTACTTTCATGCGGGAATCGACCGTTACGGTTCTCTTTTCTTCGCGAGCGCCATTAATCGTTTCTTTTCTTCCTCCGTGGCCGTTGGATCCTTTGATTTCCGTTATTCTTCTAACTGGACCGCTTCGTTCACGCATTTACGGAACGAATCAACGTTTCTTCAAAGATGAGTTCCTCGTAGCGTCGTGTCTAGCTTGTAGTCACGTTTGAATCGGAAACTACCGAATTAAAATTATTCTTGTCTCGCTGTTCTTTTACTATTATGTTTAGTTTACTGTTAACCCTTTGCACTCGGAAGTTTTTCACTAGAAATATTTGAACATCTGATGAGATGAAGACGATATTTTGTGAAACTAACTCCAAGAGAAATCATAACGTACGTTGAAGAACGAAGCTATTTTATTTCAATTCTCAAATTGATGCGTTATATAAGGTATAATATTAAATATCAAATTTTATAGTTCTACAGTGTGAAATCAGGTGGTGAGAGTCACCTCGAGTGCAAAGGGTTAATTACACTTTCTTATTCTACTCTTTCCATACTCAAACTAAGACGATCAAGATGATGATTTTTTGTTGTTGATGTTGTTAGATTACGACTTTTGATTGTCGTTCGACTATTCAAGCTTCTCAGTTTCGTCGACATTCTATTCCATAACGCGCTACAGAACCATTATTGCTATTCAGAAGTACCGCGAACATTACCGCGCTAAAACGTACGAATTAGCTGGTGACCGTCCGCGCGTTAGACAACCGACGCTAATAACGAAGGTCTAACAACGACGGAGTCGACGAGCGTGTTTGTGGGAACGTGTTAAACATTCGAGAATGTCGGCTGAGAATGTTGGAGGTGACTTCGGGATAAGACTTCGGGATCAAGTCCGATGCACAAAATACGTTGAATTTATTGCGAACGGTTCGAGCGGCGCGACCGTGGTCCAAGATAAACTGGTTCAATTTTAAAATCGTATTTTTCAAACGATAAGTCAGTCACTCTCGTTTCGCGCGTTTCTTCTGCATTTCTTTTTTTCGTCCGTCTAGATCACCCGCGATTCCTTAAACGCAATGCTACGATTCCGTTCTAGGATCAGAAAGTTCCACTCACATTCCGCCCCGAGTTACGCTGAAAAACTCGATACGTGTCTGTACCTCGCTAATTCACGCCATCATTATACTCATTATCTCACACGATAATCTGTGAGCGTAATCGAACGGCGTATCTCGTTTTACACTTGAAACTTTCAGTTCGTTCATCCTGCCGCGCTGAAACCAATCGATTTCCGAGATGACGAGGAAAGTTTTCTTCTTAACACGTTGAACGCCGCACGATTTCATGGAGCAGAATGTACAAAATGGAGAGAATATGACATTAACCTTTGCACTTCGTTGTCGCCGTAACGGCGACATTGTAAGATAAGTTTATAACTTCGTTTTTAGTCAAACATTACTTTAAAATGTATACGCGCTTTTTTAACCCTCTATGGGCTGAATTTTTGTTCATGATTATAACAAAATCTATGCAGTAGAAAATTCATAAATATCCACATATGAATACGAATTAAGAATGTATTCAATAGTTTCAATAATTTCATCAAACGAATGTATTCTGTAACTTTCAAGTCGCAATGACATTAAACTTTCTCGCCTGAGCGTATGAAAGTTCAAGTTAACTGATCACTTAATTTTACTCACCACTTTGAGTGCAGAATGAAGTAAATCAACAGGATGCCAATATACTGATACGTAACTTCAAAGTTACATGAGCCTACAGAAGGTTAATGACAAAACAGGTTAAATCTTTTACAGAGGCACGAGCTGATAGCTCGTATTAAAACTGTTTCGGAGTTGCTGAAAGGTTACATTAAAAATTGTTCGTAGTGCAAAGGGTTAAATCATTTGATTGAGTTGCGTTATTATTACTGCGTGTTCATGTAGCTGTTCACTGCATTAGGCAGTATTGTTTATGATATAGAAACCTTTTAAAATAATCATAGTTCAACTGAGTGAATTATAGTAATCCGATTCGATTGAGGGTCACCGGTGACCCCGGCATTCAACGTGTTAATACCGTCGAAAAGATTCGCAGTAATAAAAAAAGAGAAGGATAGTCGTATTCTGGAAGCTACCGACGTCTCAGAAATCCAAGAACAAACGGACACCGAGTCACCGTTCCTTGAACGTCGAGGTATTTGACGTACTCCTCTCTATATTCGACAAAGCAAACGTCGATCCACGGCGACGAGGCTATTTATAGCCAGCCAATTTAATTCATTGCGAAACCTCGAATTCCTCGCAGCTTATTCGCGGTCTTTTTCGCGCGGATTATGCTCTATACGTATTTTTCCTCGAGAATATGCAAATAGGGGTTCTCAAGGCGCGAGTCTGGAAATTTCGGACACTGCTCTACATATTCACGTGAATGATTCGATCCTGAAAATCGAGTATATAAACAAATAGAGCGTCACATTAAGCTGTAATCGAATGAACCAACGTCGACGTGAACCTCAAACTGAGAAACCAAGAGCACCTCGGACCGCGAAGGGTTAATGTCTAACCTTTATCCTATTCTGTCCAGCCGAAGACGCGCTATCTAGTCCCACGAGCGCGTTGTCGTCGCGCGCATTGTCCGGTCCGCTTTCATCGGGCCGCAACAATGAGAGACATTCGTTGACCCGAGAGGGCCGGTCGCCCCAGAGTCGTATCGAGGCTTTTTATTCGAGGCTGTTTCGCGCGGCGGCTCGTGCCGCCGTATTCTGGGTCGGAGACCTTCGTCCTGCCGCTGTCCTCGGCTCCGGAACACGAAGGTCGCGGGCCTTTATTGGGAAAAGATGAGTAACGAGCGAAACGACTTCGCGCTTCGTGCGTGGATTGGCAAGGAGAACCGTGGCCGCCGCGACTCGCTTGGCAATTAAATCGACCTCCTCCCCGGCCTCCGCGAACTTCGCCTTTAACGCCTCGCCTCGACGCGTTCGGCGCCTCGATCGAGCCGGGGAAGGACGATCGAGCCTCGCGACGTTCGGTCGCCGATCGTTTCGGCGCACAACGCGGCCGCCTCCGAACGAAACCCGAAAATCGACTATTCGCGTAACGAAAATTGAAGATTAACCCTTTGCACGTTTTTCACTGGAAATATTTCAACATTTTCTGATGAGATAAAATCGATATTTTGTGAAACTAAGTCGACGAGAAATTCGCGCGAATTGACGGACAAAGCTGTTTTACGTCAATGTTTCTCAGATTGATGCATTGTATGAAGTGTAATGTTAAATATCAAACTTTATAGCTTCACTGTAGGAAATCAAGTTATCGAAGGATTATGGCAATTTCGAAAACTCCGAGTTATCGAAGGATTATGGCAATTTGCAACGGAGAGAGAGAAATCTGTAGAATTGAAATGAACCGACAATTCAATGCTGCCTCTGAGATTAGCCGCATACCAGCTCTAAATAAGGATGACTGGGATTGAAGGATCAAATATTGCTTCCATGGGAATGAAGCTTTACTCGAGGGAGATTCATCCTTCGCGTTCGAACGATTTCTTTCGCGAGGCTATCCCGATCGCGCAGCGGTTTCCAAGCGAGATTACACATTATCTCGTCTCCTCCTCGCAAACGAAGGGAACAATCTTCCGAAGTTCGACCTCGTGCTTCGAGAAAATCACCCGTCGAGGCAGGCCAATTGCAGGGATAGTTAGACTAGACTCGCAGTTAGCCAGACTTGCCAGATTTATTCCTTGAATGGGCATAGCCGAACCTCTGCCCTCAATTACGCGACGTCTGCAGTCAACTTCGTAATGGGATCTCGGGATTAGGGGCAAAGAAGGAAAGCAGAAGAGTCTCGCAACTGGTACCGGGAACGGCAATTAGAATAATAACGACAACGTTGATAATTATACGCCGCGGCAGATGCTATTCCGAGTCGGAGTTAGAGCGTAATGGAATAAACTTCTTTCCAAGCTGCGAGCGAGTTGCGTAAGCGTGAGACTCGGGGTTGCCCGTTCGGGACGCGGAAAGTTTGGACGAAACCGAACTTTTCTTCGATCCAGGATTTTCACGTCCAAGATTTCCATATTTAAGGTTTCAACCCCTTATAGGCGGACGTCGACGCTTTGACAAGATCAAAGTTTCACGGTTGCAATACTGAATCGTAAACGAATGATTTAACTACTCAAACAGCAAGAAACATAGTTTATTCTATATTACCTAGAATTTGCAGAAGATTCTCTGAAATCTACAAAACCTTCAGCAGATGAAGCTGAATCATCTATTCATCGCTTAACACTAAAACTACGTACTAGTCAAAATGACTAGTCTCGATTTTTTTGTTTAGCAATTATTGATATCTTCGAAGCATTGAATCTTCGAAATGGTTTTGAAAATAAATGGTTTCATTTCAGTACTATAATGAGTGTCTGAAGAAACTGAAAATAATCTATTGTTACAATTGTTACGTGAATTGCATATTAATCGTATTAAATGCTCGATAGTTCTATTGTTAAGCAACAGAAGCGGAAACTAATCTCTTACTCTCTGAAATGCCGACAAACTCCAACACGTCAGACCTCATATTCAGTATCTCGACATTACTAAAACAATACCATTAACACTATTCCAAACACAACCCATCACCCTCGACATCAATGCAACATCCACCCAAGTAAACCTCCAAACCAGCTGCACCCAAGCCAAACACGTCACGAAACTCCATCATCGAAACATCTATCGATATTATCATTCGAAGCTGGAGCGTCGTAATCCTCGATCCGATTGGTTCCAGGTTCATGGGCGTCTGCGTGCACGAGGGTCAGCTGCACGCCCTGACGGAGTACATAAACGGCGGCAGCCTGGAGCAGCTGATCATGGCTAGACACACGCCGCTCCCCCATCTGATCAGGATGAACCTGGCCAGGGACGTGGCCAGGGGCATGGCCTACCTGCACAGCCGTGGCCTCTTCCACCGCGACCTCACCTCGAAGAACGTCCTGATCAAGAAGGACGAATCCACCTCCGAGATGACCGCGGTGGTCGGCGATTTCGGGCTCGCCGCTAAGATACCGGACCCGAGCACCGGCTACAGGCTGAGCACTGTCGGCAGCCCCTATTGGATGTCGCCGGAATGCCTGAAGGGTCAATGGTACGACCACAGGTCGGACGTTTTCTCGTTTGGCATCGTGGTCTGCGAACTGATCGGCCGCGTGCCGGCCGATCCGGACGTTCTGCCACGGTCAGATAACTTTGGCCTCGATTACCTGGCCGTGGCAGAGATCTGCGCCGCGGCTAATCCGCCGACGGAGTTCCTCCATCTCGCCTTCAACTGCTGCACGGTGAGTTTCCACGCGATACCTCGCGTTTTTTCCGTTTCCACGAGCATTGTTCGCCTGGGAGTTTGCTCGGCGCAGCGCGACGCGACGCCGCTCGCCGCGCGGGTTACTTAACGCTCTGCTCGGCGGATCGGACTATTAATAGGCTTCCCGATATCCGTGTTACATCGGGCAGATGAAGAAGTTCCCGTCGGCGATCGCCGCTTTTTCGCGGACGCGCCGCCAGCTTTGTGGATTAGAACGCTCCTGGAGCGTGGAAGATGTTTTAGATAATAGATGATCATTTCGCTGGAATGGCTCTTTATGCTTTGCACCTCGACTGTGGAGAGTAGGAATAAGGGAAGTTGGATAAGAGAGCGTTCAGGGAGATGGTAATGACGAGTTCGAGCTTTCATATCCAGATCGAAAGCTTTGAATAAATAATTTAACGATTAATGAGGTAGACGCGAGGTTTCCTTTTTCGAGTATTCAAGATTTCGATGTGTAATTCAATTATTGATAGATATTGTTTACAGAAGTTTCAGAATTTCTCATTAGCAAAGAGTTAATATGTTAAGCGAGCCTTAAAGGAATCGGTCGTGTTACGTGATTCTTCGGAAAGACCCGTCACTTTCGCAATGGCGATTACTGTTACTCTTAAAAGATCCGAGATATCAGTTAATTATCGAACAACTTCCTCGTTTCGTTATTCCTCCATTCGATTCCGATCCGATCTTCCAGCTGGAAAAGAATGTTAGTGGATTAATTGTTAGTAGAGCTGAAACTTCTCCGCGTGTTCCGCGGCGCTTTTAGCGATCCGCGTCGGTACGGCTTCCAAAGAAGTCGACGTATTTAGAGGCAAAAGAAGCGAGCGATCCCGCGTAACACGCGATGCGTCATGCGTCGCATTAAATAACGCCGCGATGCTAACTTTTCTGGCAGCGGTGCAGTTGGTCCCCGATGCGGCGGAGCCCTAGACACATTGCGCCAGAGATCGCGGATGATGAACGCCCCGGGGGCCGGCGGTCAGCGCGAACGTTCGAAGCCACTGAACTTACAATAAGCTAGCCGAATTACATAAGCGTTACCGTGAAACGGGAAACGATTTTATTTGCGCGTTTTAAAACGGGACATTGGCAACCGCCGGCAACGACGTCCGAGACGTATGCACCTGCCGCTAACAGTGTTTTACAAATGTTGTGAAATTAATACCGAGACCACCGTTCGCGTCCAATTTCGTACGCCGCGCAGACTTTGTTTCTCCGTTTACAACCCTCGACAATCCGATTTCATTGACGACCATTTAGCTAGCGAGCGTCTCAGTTGGCTAGAAAGTCTCGGCGTTCTTTCTCGATTATACCTGTTTTATGGTACATTAACGGACGTTACGAACCAACGGATCCGCTGAAAGGTATTAGAAACCGAATAGCATAAAGAACACCTCATTCAATAACGTCTAACTTCGAGAGAAACTCACCTCTAACCCGTTAATCCGTGGCCTTATGGTAAAGGTCGTTTCAATCTCTAAAAGTTGGGAACATCTTCCTCCCAACGTTTTCTATAGTTTATTTACTTAGATGAGTTACTATAATTACAAAAACATCGTATATTAACCCTTAGCACTCCAGATGATTTTGTAATTGATCAGCAACTGCAACTAATTTTTATGGTATCTCCAGTGAAAATGAAAAATGCTATAACATTCCTTCGATCTTTTATTTTCTTTCTCAGTACAAAATTTGGATGTGTGGGGAACAGTTGCGAAATGAATCCCAACGCGAGCGTCAACAAACAATGAAAACTCCATCAGCGAGAGAATCCTAAACTATGATTGTTTCAGTACGAGCCGAAGTCGAGGCCGACCTTCCCGGAGATCACGGCCAGGCTGGACAGCATGATCGCGAACGACGAGGAGGAGTCGAAGAGCAGCATCGGCAAGTGTCCGTCGGTGGACCCGACGCTGATGTCCAGCATGGACGAGATCACTCGCGAGGGCAGGCCGACGAAGCGCAAGACTGCTCGCCTGCGCAGCCAATCGGCGGACGCGAGGGGCTGCGACAACGCGACACCCTCGGACAAGGCGAGGTGTCACTCGGCGAGGAGGGTCGCCGAATTGGCGAGCAGACGGGACCCACACTACAAACCGATGACGGCGAACCCGTTCCACGCGCTCGGCGGCGTGAAGAAGATCCTCGGCGACCTGTTCTCCAGCTGCCTGGAGCTGCCCTCGCTGGAGGACGTCAGGCCGAGCGTCACCGATGCTATCGGGAAGTTCAAGCCCGCGCAGAACGACAGTATCGCGAAGATCTTGGACAGGAAGAAGCCGAACTCCGAGCCGAGCAGCCCCACCGCCAGGAAGAAGTGGGAGAGAAAGGTAAGAATGCGGACCGAGCGATGCTTTCCTCCGCTAATCGCCTGGATAATTGGATGAAATCGCTGATCACTGTCGGCATTAGGCCGCTAACCACCTGGCCGATGCCTAATCTCTCTCTCTCTCAGCCGGCGTGTAAACGAAAGTGGATCGGATCGGCGATCTTCCCGCGCAGTTGCGTTGCCTTTTCAGCGGGCTTGTTTTGCGGAGAAACCTAAAGCTTCTGTGAAATCGTTGAGAATGTTCCGGTCAATTTGATGGACAAGCGAACGAACAGATCTTCGTGCGAGTTTTCTCGAGTTAATCTGCGAGGAGCTTGTATCTAGGGGATCCCCCTTTTGAACTGGATCTCCTACCTCGTTGGTAACGATTCGTTCTCGTGCCGGAGGTATTTTCGCGTTCGAAGAAAGAGGCTACGGCGCGCATTGTCTCGGTTGAACCTCGGGTAAAAAGCACTTCCGGCGCGGGGGTAATCGCGGTTAAACAATGTTGATGGAACGACGCGCATGAGAAGCCGAAGCGCAGACCTACAAACCCTCGACCTACCTCTACAATGTTGCCAGCTGGCGTGAGGTAATAGTGGGACTCGCGCCCGGTTCACGGTCAAGGAAGTGACCTCGAGCAGCCGATACTAGTCGCCTCGAGTGTAACAGACGCGTTGCATAACGGTAGACTTAATAAAACGAACGTAAAGAATCGGACTGGGCGCGTCAAGTATTGTCTCTCGCGCTGCCTCGGTTTCTCCTTTTATTGTTTCTCGCTCGGCGACCGGGATCGCGAGGACCGCGAGGCGTCGTCGTCGTTTTGCCGAAATCGAAGCCTATTCGAACGCTAATAAACCCGCGGGACCACCATGGAGTTTCGAGAGGCGGCGCGGAACCGAGAAATGTCGGAGGTCGACGCGGTCGTTAACCCTTCGCGGTTCAAAGTATTTTCGATCTGTGATTTTGGGACCGCCACCGAAATCGCGCGGCTCGATCGCGTTTCGATCGTTTAGTTCGATAGCACGTGTGCAATATTTAGAGAGTATCGAGATTATTTTATTGTAAACTGAACGGTTAGTTCGCGGTACAAATTTGTTCGGAGGAATGTAAATATTCGAGAATGTTAACTGAACAAAACACGCTAGTCAAATCGAAGAATCACTGAACTGTAATGGACGAATTGTTGATCTTTGGACTCCTGTAACTTTCTAATAAAAAGTCATACGACATCCTGTATGGATTCATTTTAAAGCGTGGCGCTTCTACTTTCGTCTCCTGTGAGCCATTTTCTCCTGCGATGTTTCTTCGAGTATCAGTCAAGAGAGTATACTTCCCCGTTTCCGAAATCGTACGAATTCGAACGTCCCCACGAACAAATTTGATTCGACGCTGAATCCACCAGGGATTTGAAGACCGAAGTCTCATTTACAACGGCCCCTCAGCACTCTATGTACGACTTTTATTCGCCATTTTGTTGACCCTCGCCGGGCGTCACGCAACGCGTAACGAACCCGGTGAGGGTTCACCCTTCGCGGACAATGATTCATTGAAAGATAGGAAACCTTTGGCAGACAAATCTAAATCCAATATCAGCCACTTAATAGAAAGAAACGAAACTACGTCTGCTGTTCGAGTAATTAAATCATTTCGCTCAGTCTACCAAACACAAAAATGACATTCGTCCGCAAAGGGTTGAACACTAAATGAAAAGTGAGTAACTATTTACAACCGATTCCTCGTCGATTCACATGACCTTGAAATATATTGTCAAAGTCATCAATCTCAACTGTTCCCCATACATTACCGATAATACACGAACACCTAACACACGATAACACACGAAAACCTAAATCAAGTCCCACATATTCCCAGGTCACCAAAATCCCAGAGGAATCAGTGTCGCAAATAATTACCGAAAAGTGTACCCTAGACATTGTAACCACAGTAACAATCCCGCGTTTTCCACGTTCGCAGGTGGCAACGAAGGTAGGCGCCGCGAATCTGTTCACGCATCCGCTGTTCAGAGACGGCTGGGAGCCGAGGCGGCGCGGCAGCTGCGAGTCCGGGTTCTGGAGCTGCGTCGGCGAGGACCTCAGCCCGGAGCCGCCGAATCGCCGGCACACGTCCACCCTGAGCAGCTCGGCGGCCAGCAGCCTGTTCCTGCTGGACGACCACCGGACCAGCTCGATATACACGGACTCGTCCGAGGACATCGCCAGCCTGGGCGGCGGCGACTCCTGCTGGGAGGACAGATTAGGCGGCATAGGGTCTTCCAGTAAGACGATCTCGAAGATCGTCGAGTACTTCGAGAGAAAGCAGGCCGGCAGCTTGAGGCTCGTGGACCACGAGCCAGGCTCGAGCAGCAGGCTGACCCTGCTCAGAGCCAGCTTGGAGGGGCCGGTCCCTCTGTGCAGCATCTCCGCCGCCCAGAGGCTGGTCGTCTGCGAGGGCGCGGTGCGCAGCAAGCTGCCCCTCTTCGATAAGAAGTGATACGCGCCCCGTGGAATCTGTTCCTTAGGGTTTCTCGGCTCTCCCGCCGATCCGCGCGATAAACGCGGCACGTAGCGCGCGCGCAGAGCGAAGCGGAGCGGAGTCTGGGACCGGAGGGTTTAGCGGCGCTGGAAGCTTCGAGCTAGAGTATCGGGATTAACGGACCGACGCCGGAACTATCGGGTATTTCCGTTCACTGCCAGATTCTTGAACGTTTAATCGGAACACGGAGTTTGATTAATATTCGACGCTCGTGAAAGTTGGGAGAGCTTGACAAAGTCACTCGATATCCGTTAGGAAGGACTATTAATTGAGATACGTTTGGCTGGTCGATCGAGACGCTCGAATATTCAGACGCGCGGATATTCGAATCGGTCATTCCGACTGGCACGGTAGTTTCGGCGCTCAGCTCGGACAGAGAGATATCGAACGCTTCCGATGGCGTGGCGCGAGTCTCGTTGATCGCATAATTTTCAAACGATTATGCGTGAAAGTCGGCGTCCAATTCGGCGCCGTTCGTCCCCGTTGTACCTTCCAACGAGTCGCCGTGGCGCCCGACGTATCTTGCGTTTGCTTAATCACCTTCGCCGGCGTTAGTTTGTATTGCTCTTCATTTTGGAACGAAACGAAGAATAAATATTACGGGATAGCAGGTGTGTCGAAGGAGGCGGTTTTTCTGGCGTGGGACACCGTCGTCTCCGACGTGTCCGAATTTTCGGTGAAAAGATGCCTCGAGAAAGCAAGACGAATCCGATAGAGATCGATGCGAGAAAGTCGAGTTTTTGCCGGGAGCGTCGCTAAATCCCTCGGCTCCTCGGGCCACGACTGTGTGTGACGCGACGAGAATCTTGGAAAACGGCGGCGCATCCGGGGAACATGGCTCGGTTTGCCAAGGAATGCCGCGTCGGACGAGTCCGCAGCACGCGGGGGGACTGAAAGTAAATGGTAACGAAGAACGACTGTATCTTCATCGGACTCGATGACTCAGGGGACCGCGAAATAGACTCGGAACCAACCGCTTTGTCGTCGATTCGTCTGTAGCGTGTTACATTTTTGGGACCGTCGACGAACGCGTGGCGAGGGTGAGCCGGGCTTTCTTCCTGGCAGCCTAGTAATTTTATAGTGTACACAGAGTGTCCTGCAATCGGTGCTGCAACTGGAAAAACAGAAAGTTTAGAGAACAATTTCAAGTAAACAAGAGAAGAAAGAAGTTAACAGTTTACAATAAAGAAAGGAAGCAAAGAGTAATCTTCAGAAAATATATTAACATTCGCAATTGGTAAAATAAGCTACTAGAATCATTAGCTTCTAATCCACTAGATTACGCGCTGAATGTCAGTTTCGCACACAGCGACCTCTCCGTTGCATCAACGTTTACAGAACACCCTGTACAAGGTAGCAATACGCGTTCGTCCCGTACAATAGATTAATACTAATAATAGCACACAACAACGTAGCCAGACTCGAGTCCGATGGAGACGTAATCAGCCACGAATTTTAGCAGGCGCTTCTCTCTAAAATCTAGTAACCTGACTGTGATGTTTTTTGATAATCTACATACATTAATCGATCCGTACGACTTAAGTGTCGGTGAAGCCGTCGGCGGGGCTCGTCATTCCGTGGGCTGCGGTCGTTCGGCGTTTCTCGTCGAGTGAAACGGTCGGTCGGACAGAAAATTCTGTCGGTAGATACGCCTACATTGAACGAAGGAGAGGCGAGCGTCGATGATATTCCACGGGACGCACGGGACGTTTCGCGCGCGTCGGTTCGGCACACTTAACGCTCTTTCTTCGAGATAATAATGTTTGTATTGCCGATAGGGATATTTATTATCTTCGAGAAGAAGGCTCGGACGAGGATGAACGTTCCCAGGGATCGACGGAAGCAATATAGAATTTGATTTCGAGACTGCGGCAACCGGATGCCAGTAGAAACAACGCTGCTCACGTTCTCACCTTTCGCAGTGCCTCGCAGTTCCTAGTTAGCCACCTCCGTCCTTTATCCACGAAGACCGACTTCTCAACCGATCGCTGCCGTGGCGACGGTGCAGATCGGGAACGCGAGTTTCGCCGATTCCGTGGTTCGCCGGCGCGTCGAGCGGCCGGATTTCAGCGCGTCGCGTTGCCACACACACCCCCGAGTTGGTCTGTTCTCGTTTGTTTCACCATTTCCCCGCCATCGTGTTCGGCGTACGGATACTTCGGGTCGAGGGTCACCGTCGGAGGCGTTGCTCTTGCGCTGGAGACGCGAGCAGGTCGAAGCGGACACGAAAACTACGACGACGTACAGGAGAAAACGGCGCTGTTTCTGTTATTTTCTTGTGAAAACCGAGTCACTTTCGTTTGCGGTTGTCCGAGCGAACGCGGGACGGAAACACTCTCTTTTAGTCTGTTAGATTGTTAGATCGTTAGATCGTTAGACGGTTAGATCTTCGATGGTACGTTTAGAGGATCATCGATACTGGTTCGTCGGTGTTGGTGACGCGAGCGCGGAGGCTCCGACGAGTTTCTTCGAGCGAACGTTCATAGGAAAAAATGTTGTGCCTTATTGAAATGCCACATGTCCTAGGTCAGGTAACGCGTCCAGCGTTCAACTTAGAATTTTTACACACTGATAATCACGCAACGTTAAAAGCAATTTCAGTTTTAGCTGTAAATATTCGTTCGGGACTCCGTGGCTCGTCTTATCGAGATCCGCCGACCGGTATCGTTGTTTCCTCTTAAGGAGAACCGAAGATTTCTAACCTTCCGTCCGATTTACGTTGGAAAAATGTGTTTTTTAATTAGGACGTTGTATCCTGAAAAATTTCGGTTTTGATTCATTGATAGCGTTTTATTCGTAGACCACAGGGTGAGCGAAAATTATGAATCAAAGGTTCAATCGAGAACGTCTCACCCTGTGTTGGTCAAGACAGACAAGTTCAGTTGTAATTTTAATTTATCGAATTATCCGAGACAAATCTACAGTCCGATGACCGTGCTGCCGTCTTCTTTTGTACTGTGTCGTCGCGTAGAGATAGGAGGGATATCATCAAGGCCTATGCTGCGCTTAAACGAGAGTTTTTATTACATTTCTGATCGAGCGATGGATACTTCCGTGGCGCCCCGCGCGTCGTAGATTAGCACTCAGGATGCGAGGAAGCAAAACATAGTATATTTTGTTGACAGAGATGACACCGCGTGTCCTGAATATTTTTGTTGACGTAAACAATCGGGACGATTGTCCATTTTTGTGTAAGGCAGCGAGCGAGCGAGCGAGCGAGAGAAAGAGAAATAGAGAGAGAAGGATGCAAAAAGAAGCAGCGTGAGTGGAAGCGCGAATGAGAAATAGAATGTAGAGAGACTGAGAGAGAGAGAAAGGGAGAGAGTAAATGAAACTGATCTAGTCAGTGTATTATCGTGGCGGCCTTATCTTTTGTATGTCGTAGCGCTAATAACTTAAGTGTTCCAAGGGAAATGAACGAAGAGCGAGAGGGACGGAATGCGAGAGAGATGGAAAGAGGTGAAGACTCTGAATCCGAATGAGTCCCGCGATCGTCGGATCGCCGGCCGATCGGTGAAACCTCGTTTCTGTTAGAGAAGGCAAGCGGAACTCCGAATGTACACGGTAATTTATAGTGAATGCGTGTGTGCCTGTATACGAGTGTGTTTGCTACTGTGCGAGAAGAGAATCGCGTGTGTCCTTTCGTTGCTTCCTCGAGATTGCGTCTCCGTCAGCTGGAAACTTATCCAATCGGGAATACTGATAGCCCAAGGTCACCCAAGGTCGTCTGATTATATTCCGTCATTCTTAACTCGGTGAACCTTTGTTTATTATATTCGCGAACGAACGACTTTGAAATTCATTTTAACCCTCTGTAGGCCCATGTAACTTTGAAGTCAATATTGGCATCTTGTTGGGGGTCACCGGTGACCCCCAAGCAAATCGAATTGCTATAGTTCACTGAATTAAACGATGATTATTCGCAAGCATTTCTATATTATAAATAATGCTACTCACTGCGGTGACATTCAATTTGATGAACGTACGATGATAGTAATCCAATTCAGTCGAATGGTTTAATATTGTATTTTTTCCATTTTGTGTCTATGAAATCGTGTGGCGTTCAACGTGTCAACGTCATTGTAACTTGAAAGTAATGTATTGTACTGAATACATTAACTCGTCTTCATATGTGGATACTTAATTTTGTACTGCGTAGGTTTTGTTATAATCACGAACAAAAATTCCCATAGAGGGTTAATTCGATAGAAACGTTCAATTTTCTACGTGGTAGAATCTTATTCGTCGATGCTCGTGTAATATATTGAAGGATGACAGTGAGCTCGAGTTGTCAGTATTCCCCGGGCAAACACACGGTGTAACCGAAGCGAAATGACACTGAAAGTTGGTGCACGACCGGAGGAACGAGCTGGACGCAGCATGGGGACACATCGCTCTTTAGTTACGCGGTGTTACTCTGGTACGGTATTCTCGAAGCGACTCCCGAAGAGGCGAGCGTCCGAAGTCTTCCTGATCCTGAGTTTCCTTTCGGTTCCGTTAGTCTCTTTGTCCATCGAACAAGCGTCTCGAGTCAATTTAAGTCTACAATATTGCTGCAGCGTAGCCGGTGGAAAGTTCGTTTCGTGTACTTTGTCGTTAGACGGTGGAAGTTTATGCGTATTCGGAATTAGAAGGGATCCAACGAATGTATCCGTTTATTGATCAGTTTGACGGGTTACAAGTGCATAAGATTCCGCGGTCTAATCGTCGTTGTCGCCGCGCGGCTGACGGAATACCGTATCAGCGTAGTAGTCGACGTCGAGGGGACGCTTTAGGTAGGTAGCAGTTCGCGGGTCAGCGTGAGATCGTTTCGTCGACCCGGCTGCGGGACGAGTCGAACCAAATTTCTACTAGAATAATAGGCCACTATACCTTTTTACTTGTCAGAGTTCGTTCACGGGTTCTACTTGATAAGACTGCGTGTTTGTTAAATATGTATGTAAGTAGTAAGTCCTTGATAGTTCGCAGTCCCTTCTTCCTTGCCTAACGGAATGCACCGTCGACCAGAATTCAACGTGTTCTCTCACCTTTCGTTTCGCTCTAGTCGAGTTGATGCAGCGGTACGAGCACCCGAACGGATTTCACTTAAACCGATCCGCAATGGAGATTGCTGCACCAAGGGGATTCCGAGCGATCGTTAGATTGCCGTGAATCAAACGTAAAGCAGAATGTTTGTTGTATTAATTTCATTCGATTGAAGATAATACGAACAGGAACGAAACTGTACGGAGCTTTCGATTCGATTCTTTCCGGAGGATTCACCGGTGAACAGAGATCGGTGTCTAGCGATCGCGTTCACAAACAGGGACACTAACGTTAGAACTCTTTCCAAAGTCTTTCAAGAAACTCACGCGGAACGCTCAATCCTTACTACTGTAGTCTTTCATATGCCGTACGGGACAACTGAAAGTTCATTCGATTTGCCTGTTGGTGTAGCAACTTTCGTCGTTTTCAAAAGAATCAGGAACGAGGACTCATGGGGAGGAGATTAACCCTTTGCACTCGAGAATATTTTTCTCAACATTCATTACTTTCTAATGAACTGTGAATGATATTTTTTACAATTAACATAAATACCTTGCATAAATTTTATTTCGATGTTCCATGTGTTCGGACGTTGTATAAAATTTAATATTGAATTTTTAATGTTACAATGTTCTTGGGTCAAATGAAATGACTGGAAGGCGCCTCTCGAGTGCAAAGGGTTAAGGAGAGAAGTTTGAGCATCGATTCGACAGAGATGCGTCCGCTACCTTTGCATCGAGTCGACCACGCAAAGAATGATGCGTTCTGTTTCGACGCGTCAATCGGTACCTGAAGAAACCTAGAAGCAAGGACTGCGAATGGGTTTTATTTTTAATAGTCGCGGACATATCAGGAGTTGGGCATATCCTGAGGAGAATTTGTTGCCGGTGAGGAACGATCGTCGAGTGTGTGTGTGTAAGAGAGAAAGAGAGAGAAAGGGACAAAAGGGAAACTGTGGAACAGCGAGCGAGAGGAGAGTGAAAGTGTGTGACGAAGTCGCGTGAGAAATGGAAACAGTAAATCGGACTTGTAAGACCGAGAGGCGCATTTTTCTTCTTAAAAAGAGGGTTATTTATTTTAAGTAAAAAAAACAGGTAATTATAGGTACACATTTAGAAATCCACTTGAATCGTCTCTTCCAATATACTTTTCTCGGACTATCGTCCGCGTGGCCCGTTCGCGGACACAATAAGCTGTACATATTTATTGCGCGTACGAGAGAAACAAAAAAGAGAGAGGCGGCGAGAAGAAAAAGGAGAGAGAAACGAAATGCTACAAAACACTGTATCTCCGGAGAAACCGTTTTTCAAGCAATTTTCCAATGGTCGGGTCGGTTCTATATACAAAGGAACAGCGGGATTTCGCTCTTACGATCGTCCGTTCGACATAAATAATTAATAAGGGAAGAATGATGGGTAGAAAACGCGATCGAGGTTGTACAGATAATGACGATGGTACTGAGGATAATAACAATTCTAACAACTAAGAACTAAAATAACGAATGAGAAGAAGAAAAGATTTCAGCGAAGCTATATATATATATATTATATTATATATTATAAATATATATATGTATATATATATATATACATATATATATAGATATATATGTATATGTATATATATATTGTAAAAAAATTCCTATATACAAAAATAAAGTTAAGGCTCCAATTTTTACCAAACATCTTTACAGCCTTCTTCCATAAAGCCATTCAACTTCGCTCGCCGATGGCAATTTTCGTTCGAACGGTGCAACGTTCGACATTCACGGTTAATTGGAAAAGTTGATCGATCGAATAACAAAGTAACAATTAAACAGAAACCGATATTAACACGTTGAACGCCACACAATATCAAATCATTCGACTGAATTGGATTACTATCATCGTACGTTTATCAAACTGTCACCGCAATGGGTAGCATTATTTATAATATAAAAATGTTTGCGAATAATCATTTAATCGAGTGAACTATAGTAATTCGAATTGCTCGGGGGTCACCGGTGACCCCGTGGCATTCAACGTGTTAAATATCAATATGCACGATTGTCGGATCCGTTAATCTGTTAACTGATTCCTCGAACGTCGGACTGCACATTAATTCCCAAATCCAACATAACAACGATCCTGTCGCAACGAGCTGGACGCGAATCAGCAAACATGGAATAAAATAAATAAGAAATCAAGTACCGAACATCGAACTACACGAACGAATTAATCTTCTCCAGTTAACAGGTTAAAATCCAGATCAAAGAATTCTGTAACCGACAGACTCCAATTCCCGAGCAAACAGAGCTCGCTAAAATCAATCGCTCCGATTAAAAATTCCAACGAAACACATCAGCGTTCCCTCTCGATGTTGTGCCAAGGCCTGCCCATGTCCTCTTCCGGTATCAGAGGTATGTACCTGGTCCTGGGGTCCTTCTTCCTCTCGTACGCGTACGGGAACACCATGCTCCTTCTCGTGGAGCTCCTCACCTCGCTGGTCTCCTTCACCCTAGGGATCCTCTGGATGTTCGAGTACGAGCGGGACTCCGTCTCCTTGGAACTCGGCGAGATCTCCTCGGAACTCGAGAACTCCTCCGCTTCGGGTTCAGCCAACGGAATATACTTCTTCTCACTCTCCAGCTTTCCCTTCGAGTCAGCTTCGCTCGATTTGTTCGAACTCGCAACCTCCAATAGCACTTCGGTCTTCCTGGGCGCAACTGAGACCGGAGGCAGCTCGCTGGAGACGTTGCTCGAGTCCTCGGGCAGCTCGCTGTTCACCAGAATAGGCACCCAGTCGTTTGAGCTGCTCTCCGAACCGTCCTCCGTCTCCACGGACCAGCTGTAGTTCGCGTGCTCCCAGTTTAGCACCCTGGAAACGTTGAAGTCCCTCCGGGACACGGCGTTCAGGGACGCGGAGGAGCTTATAGGCACCCATTGGTTGTCCGACGCACTGTCAGCCCTCTTAGCCTCCGAGTCCGTCGCGTTCGGCTTTATTCTATCCGGATACACCGCCTCGACCACCGCAGCCTCTACCGAAGTGTCATCCAAGGAATCGGACGAGGTAGCTCTTTCAGAGACAGGCTCGACGTCTTCGCTTTGATAATTACTCGACTCTGGCTCCCTGTTCTCCTCGGAGGCGATGTCTCCGAGAGGAGGGAAGTACTTAGGCTCCTCGTACCGCGAGCCGGTCACGAAGCTGGGCGTGTACTGCGAGATCAAAGGGAGCAGAGTCTGCCTGGCGTACCTCTCAGCCTGCGCCAGGATGCCAGCTAGTCGTTCAGGTAAGAACTGCACGGTGAAGGACCTGGTGGTCGATGATGTCTCCTGAATCTCGTCCTTCTGCTTCTCCCGAGGGTGAACCTCGTTCCTAGTGTTCTGCCTCGCGGATCGCGGCCGGAGGATCGGCTCCGTGATCTCCGGGAGCTTCAGCGACCTGCCCGTCTCCTTCTTGTTCACTCGGAGCACCGGCTCCCTGATCTCCGGCAGGAACTCCGTGGTGGAGTCGGTCGGAGAATCGGCAGACGGAGCTCTCTGGAAGAAGTTGCTGCCAGAGAAGCCTCTGCCTCGCTCCGAGTCCGAGTTCTCCAGGGAGTTCGAGTCCCCGTCGGCCGAGATGTCCGCGATGTTCCAGGGATTCGACGCTCCGCGCCGGTTGGCGGGCTCCTCGAAGCTGTTCGGCTTGAAGCTCTCCTTCCGCTCGGCTATCCGGAGGTTCTGCTCCTTGGTGAACGGCCCGATGCTCTTGGACGACGCGGACGTTCTCTCGTTTGGGAACGTTTCTGCCGGGTAAGTGTCCTTCGTTTCGTAGTTCTGATCCTTCGTGAAGGGACCGATGCCACCTTGTTTTTCTTGCACGAGGCGCTCCAGGACCGGCGCCGTCGAGTTCTCGGATTCCGCCGGCACGTTGCACTCGCCGGAGAAGAGTGGCAGGTACACGGACTTGCCGGACTCCAGGTTCAAGCCCTTCCTGCAGATGGACAGCGTCTTGCCGAAGCTGTCGATGATGGCTACCTTGTCGATGTTCCAGGAGACTAGGCCGGACGAGATCCAACCGCTGTACGCGGTATATTTGATCTGGAATGGACAGTGAGATGTAATGATGGATTATAGATAGACATCGTCAGTTTACAATTTGATTTAGATGTTAATTTTTTAGCTATGGCGGAACTAGCAAAGCTGTACCTCTATGTGGTAAACGTAGCACTGCGATTTGAGACTGATGGAATTTTCCACTGTGCAATTACGATAGATTAGACTGTGCATAGCTATCGATGACAAAATTGTGCTACAGTAGCTGCCGTTCAAAAAGATGACACGAAAGCCACAATAGTGACGTACAGTAGCTAAATGGTTAACACGTTGAATGCTAACTAAATCGAATCACTATAGTCCACTCAATTAACCGATGATTATTTGGAAACATTTCTATATTATAAATAATGCTACCAGATGCGGTGACATTCAGCTATATCAGCTTCTCCATTTTATGTATTTTGCTCTTTGACATCGTACAGCATTCAACGTGTCAGTAAATCCGATCAGGTTTCCATTTAGATACAAGAAAAATGCTCTTTAAATAAAACCAACATTCAGACTCGAAGCACGCTCACCTCTATAGCCTCCAAGGTCAAGATCGCCGGATGCGGCACGATGATCTTCTGTAGAACGGATCCCACGTGAAGTTCCTCGTCCTTGCGCGTCATGGCGAAGCTGTCGTTGAAGGAACCGTCGCCGACCAGAGTGACCTGTAGCTTCCCGTAGGTCCTGGTCGGCCGTTCGCTGTGGCTGTTGTAGACCCTCACCTGGTACTGATGAGCGCAGAACGGTTCCTCGTCCCTGGTGACCAGGTAGAGCTGTCCCCTAGCCGGCGACTCGTCGCTGTAGTAGCCCATGTCGCCGCAGGGTCTGCCTACCCCGTTGTTCATTCCGCACGGGAAACACTCCCCTTTGATCAGACCGTCGTACCCTCGCTCGCAGGGGAACGCCGGGAAACGACACTTCGGGCTGACCGAGTCGGTGAACAGTTTGTACGCCCTCCGGTGGTTGCACAGGGACCTTCCCTCTACTGCGCTAGCTGCGGTTCGAACAAATTGATGCGATGTAGCGTTTTGCGACGAGGGGAAGAGGAGTGCGTAGCTGACACTACGTTGACACTCCAGAGCAAGGACAGGTGATAAAGATGACAGGTGATAGAGGGTAAAACCGTTGCAGTGCTAACAAAAGGAGGAAACTTATTGTTTTAGCAAAGGTTCGAGACTTTTGGCTCGAGGAGCTATTTGTCGCCTTCGCTACCGAACGTTCAAAGCAGCGCTCTCCGAATATCAATAGATTGAATATATAGTATAACACTCAGTAATCTTTAACCCTTTGCGCATGGAGATTCCTCGAAAGATACCAAACCTTCAACATACGAAGCTAAATTATATACCAATTGCTTAATCGTAGTTTTGATGCTTTCACGGCCTGGATTGTTACACTCATTTCTGGCTTTCGGGAGAGAGCCGTGTACTAGGAGTTTTTTCCTAACTTTTCGCCTGCACTGCAGCTCCGTTGGGAAAAAATTCCTAGTACACGGCTCTCTCCCGAAAGCCAGAAATGAATATTTCTATAGACTGTTTGGGAACTAATTCGGATAGCCTAACTCTGAAGTCCGTTTCCAAGGATATCGAACGTGTCGCAACGGTGTTTGGATAATATTTCACAGGACATCGGGTGACCTGCTTTCTTTCGGGCAAAGAATTCGATACACGTTGCGGACAAGGTAACATTATCTGACGCGTGAAAATCTTGCGGCGAGCTTTCTAATGCTCGATCTATGGAAGTTCGCGGCACGTAGCGGGTACCTACACCAAATGATGTCGGACACAGCGCCCAAAAACAGATTGGAGCAGCCGGTCTGCATCCTTCCGCCGTTCGGGTAGAAGTCCACGTCGCCCATCGGCTGCCAGGAGCCCAAGCCGCCGAGCAGCAGCTGCTCGCCGTTGCTGTGTATCACGTCGACGAAGTTCGCGTCCGTCTCGTCGAGGCGGGCCCTTGGATCTTGCGACTCGAACAGGGGTCCTGCGGGGTCCAGTCCTGTGGAATTGAATTCGCGTTGTTAACGCGTTAAGCGGCACGAAAATCTTAAGCGTTTTCCCATAGAGTTTGTCTTTTGTAGCAGAGAAAAGTGGGAATAATTATGAATTTGGCGTTGCAACGTTTAAGTTACACTACTATTAACTTAGTTGCCTTATTAAACATTTTTATTTCACATCGGTTGTCTTGTGTTACGATTGTTTTTTAGTCATTCGGAAGCGTCAGTCACCAGTGGCTGACATGGCGCTTAACGTGTTAGTAACATTTACAAAATAATATTTCTAAAATCCAATATGCGTCAATTTCACGCGTTCTCTAGTGTTAACAAGTTGCTGAAGGAAGCTTTCATTTGTAACTCGACAGAAGTGAGACACGCAGGTTGCAGGTAGAATTTAATCGATTTTCCTTTTACCAACGGTAGCCTGGGTTTCGAAGGACGACAAGATCGCGCGTTTCGCAACGCGGGAGCAATAACTGCGAAACGAGCGGGCAGCTGTCAATAAAGGAGTTCGCCTAGTTTGCCAATGGACCAGAACGAGGATGGACGATTCCGTCGTGTCTCTGTGCGTTCACCTGTTATCCGGGACACGTTGGCCAATTCGGCGCCTGCGAAACCGGCGACGTGCGCGCCCAGGCTGAAACCGATCAGATGAACCTTCTCCAGCGGCACGTTCAGGCTCCTGATTAGCTTCGCCAGCTGCCGGCCGACCAGCCGAGTGTTGGCTGCCGCTCTTACGTAGTTAGGAACTGCGCTTCCTGGACCCCAGTCGACGCAAACTGCAAGCGGATGTTGCGTAACAGCGTTCTCCTCGGGAGAGACGTTGCGCCAGAGATGGCGAAGGATGTACAACGTACGGTTCAACTCGGAGATACGAACCTATGTTGCATTCGTGCACGGTCATCAGCGCGGATCTCATCTCGTAGACCCAGACGTGATCGCAGCTGGACCCGAAGCCGTGGACGATCACCTTGGTCGGCAGATCCGGATCTATGGCACGGTGCGCGTTGTCGTTTATGTCGTCGGCGGGAACCTCCATCGGGATCGATCTCGCTTTCCTGCTACCGTACACGAGGAATCTGCCGTCGAGTTAAGAATTGTATTATGATACGAGTGTATAATTAGTCACTTCGATAAACGAAAAGTTTAGATTTGGAAGACTAAGTCGTTTATTAGTCGAACAGCAAGAGATTGGCACGTGGTTTCCTCTTTTTCTATTGATTAAGCAATCGATATATAGAGCTTCATATGTTCAAGGGTTAACACTTTGACTGCCACGTAACAGTGAAAACTGCCATGTACTCGAAACAGTTTTCTTCATTAACTAAAAACTGAGAAGTTAAGATTCCTCCTAATAATTGCTCCACTTATACCTCGTAGATATAAGAAATCGCTAAGAAAATTATCCAAGCTTCTCTGAAAATAGTGTCACCCGAATTCGACGTGGCAGTCAGTGTTGAATGTTATTAGTATGAGATGAAGGATGATTATCTATTATCTCTGAATTATTTTGTTCACTTGATTTTTCTAAACTTCCTTAAATTCAGCAATGTACCTAGTGCCGACGTCCTTAGGCGGCGATGGCAACATCTCCAAGTAGCTGAAGGGCCCCGTGTCCTCGAAGCAGCCGACATCCTCGTAGCACACCTTCGACACCTCCCTCTTCGTCCTGTGGCTGAGTTTCCTGTGCAACGTCCACTGTTTCATCGATTCAACGACCGCGCGGAAAATTTCTGCGTCGTTCTTCTCGTCCGCGGACTCGTCGAGAGGCGTCGGCCACTCCTGCGACACCGCGGGATCTCCTGGAACATCGAACATTTCGATAACGACACCGTCAATGACAATCCTTAACCCTATGAGCCGAATTTTCGTTCACAATTCTAACAAAATCTATGCAGTACGAGATTAACCCTTTAGATTAACCCGAACTGTCACGTCCGAAATACGTATAAGAGTTCAAGTTAACTGATCGCTTAATTCTATTCACCACTTCACCGTGCGAAGTGAAACAAATCAGCAAGCTGCCAATAAACTGATACGCGAATTCAAAGTTACATGGGCCTACAGAGGGTCAACGTTTCGAGACTTCTAGCAGTTCAATTTAGCGCGTCGGTATGCAAAGAAGGCGGACCGGGTTAGACGTAAATTGCAAGCGTACAGAGCCCGAGCGAGCCGCCATTAGAACGGATTTACACCTGCCGTTGAACTCCTCGCCGAAGGGGACGTCGGTTTCCGGTGAGTATTCGCGTGTCCCCGTGAACCGACGCGAACTAAACCGAACCGAATGCAAACTGCAGAATAATCCGCCTCCGGCGATAGAATGATGATGAAAAGAACGCTCTTTCCGATGCAAGGATAAATGAAATAAAGCCGAGCACCTTGTGTAATAATAATCTATCGCCGAGTGGTGTATCATTATTTGCTGCGCCGTTTCTTCCAACAACCCAGAATAACTTCGCGTTAGATATATCGGTGTCAAGAGCGTACTCTCGCGGAGAGCAAACACCGCTCGAGAAACGTCAACCGTTTCTCTTAAGACAGGCAGCAATAATTGCTGGTGCACACCTGCGGCTGAGATTGCTGTGGAGCCACCTTCTTTCCGGAGGTTGCGAGACTCAGGGTAAGACATCATCGGTTACAACATCCAACATTTGCAGGACTCGGTTTCTCACAATTTCCCTTTGCAACGGAAGAATAAGTTGTTTTTTGATCCGTGGGTAACGAGCAACATTGATTCTTATTAAACTAATCTAGAAATCTTCAGCACGACTCTCGTCATTACGGCAAGGGGTTAATTTCGCGATATCGAATGAAACGGTAAATGAAAGTGACCTCTCGAGTGCAAAGGGTGAAGATCCTCCTGCGCGCAGCGTAGATTGATAGATTCGTGCGAACCTTTCGTAACGGTTTCCTCGGCTCGTTGCGCTGTCATTAGCATAACGCCTGAATAACAATCTCCTGGAACGCGGGGCCGTTCTTCCCGTCCTTGTTCTCCGGTCCCGCCGCAAATCGAACGAAAGGTCAGCCGTAAAACTCGGCTAGCGGTGTCGATCCCGCCTCCGATTGTTCTCACGGCGGTCGAACGCGGGAAGCGGAGGCCGTGGATCCGCGGACCAGAAACTCGACGATCGAAACGCGTCGCTCGGGTATCGGGGACGCGGATCGGAACCTGTCCAGCGTCCAGGAATCGCGAGATCGCCGCGATAGCCGTGAGAAGGGAAAGTTAGAGGACGCGTTGATCCCGGGGATCGCGCCGGTAGAACGTCAAGGGTGAACGTCGCGTCGCGCGGTAACCGGTTAATTGGACGAGTAGATTTCTAAAGAAAAATTTACGCAAGCCAATATCGGACGTTGATTGAGCTCCCTCATTGATACTTGCCGTGCAATTTCCTTCGCGCTCGAGTTACTTCACTATCGAGAAAACAAGACGATTGCAAGTTTCCTTCGAAGATGGGAATATTGGGAATAGCAAAATAATTTTAAGCAACGATTACCGAGGCTCCTCTGAAGCAATCTTAACCCTTTCGCAACGGCGTACCTATACTTCGCCACTTTTCGCGACTGCGCGACTGACCATACTTTGTCGCCCACTGTTCGCTAAATTGTGTATGTCATTTTCTGTGTTGCCTAATGCCAGTACTAGCTTTATTTTGAGTTCGCTACTTATTTATTTATTTGAGTTCACGGCACTCGTCGCGAAAGGGTTAAGAACCTAATGAACTCTTCGTTACGCTGAAGTTCAGAGGCTCATAGATCGTAGGAACACAGAGGTTACCATGAGCATAGAAGGCAGTCTACTAATTAGGAGTGATTAATCTGCAACAGACTTCCTCGAGATCCTTTAACCTTAAACGTCGCGATCGCGTTAGCAAGTTCCTGGCTCACAAAGTTGCGAGCGATCTGTAAATGGCGTAACGACAGAGGAAGTATGTCTCGTGAACTGCCGAATTAATGAATTCCTACCGTGCTCCGATTCACGCACGATTTTTAATAGAGGAAGCTGTAAAGACGGCATAATCGAGGAAACGAAGCGATCGGCGACGTCCCGATTCGCTTTCCAGTCCAAGGTGGCAGCTCGAGGAAAATCCCCGGCACCTGTCGCCCGATTGCGGGTCGAGGAGTCGCTCGGAGATCGCGATCGTCTCCTGAACTTACGACCCAGATCCGCCGGCGGAAAGAAAACTCGACGGGTCAGGGAATCGCGTTATCTGGAGGAATGCGTGCCGGCGGAACGGGTTCCCGCGAGAACGGAGGGAAACTCGAGGCTGCACGCCACATTTTAAGCAAACGCTCTGCCCCTAATTGGGACCAGTCGGGGAGCCGGCCATCGGGAAAATCGGGACGATCGCGTGGCGCTTTACTTTCCTCTCTAATCCGTGTCTTCCTCGACGTCGCCGAATTCTGTCAACCCTCTATAGGCCAAATTACGTTTCATGGTTATAACAAAATGTCTGCCGTACGAAATTAACGAATATGCACATGTGAAAACGAATTGACAATGTATTCGATAGTTTGAATAATTTCATCAAACTCTTAATAGAGAGTTCAAATGTGAAAACAGCGTTCAAAGGGCAAATCGACGTGCCGATTTGAAATTGAAGGGAAATGCAACGATTACATTGGACTGGAAATAAATCGAGCGACTACGACCGATTAACTTCTACCACCGGTAAATAACGCGAAACGAAGTAAGCGAGTTGTCTTTTAGATTCCGCAGCTTTTAGTGCACTCGTAAAACGTTTCCGCTCGCCAGTCGGAATGGTTGCAGCGCTGTTCAAGCGCGATCGGCGGATAGGAGACAGAAAACGGCGAGGAGAATCAGCCGAAGAAAGTCTCGCGATCGGCGAGCCGGCAGATAAGAAAGAGAAACCGTTTTTGTTGGCCGCGGTGGCCGCCGGTCAATTATCTCGTTAGAGATCGGCACGGAGGACGAGCGGAGGCGGCATAATCGGCGGCGATAGGCCGCGGGACGGCTTGTTTCGCGGATGAACCGACCAGACCAGTCTGCCGTCGAGTGAAATTCGGAAAAAGAAAGCCAGGAGCGGACCCGGGGATCGTCCGTTAATGGCCAGCCCGCTCGGACGAGAGCGGTTCGAGCTCCTCGGGTTTTTATTCGTCGCGTGGCCGGCCACCGGCAAAAAGAGCGCGGTCTCTTGAACCGGGAGAGGCGTGGAAAAGGGAAATCAGAGGAGCTGAAATCAGGATTGTCGGCTGACACCTGGTCGTTCGACTGTCTAGTCTACTGTTGTGATTCGAGCCGCTTCTTTTTAACCCACTAGGATTTGTTTCTCGATTACGATCGGTACAGTTGTTTGTAGTGATAGTTTGTCGATAGAGAGGACGATTCTGGGTATGCTCTACGCCTATGGTTGCTCGAAAGTACAATTGAGTCGTTTGGAAGCTAATACCTTTTGCACTCGAGAATATTTTTCTCAAGAAATATTCATTATTTTCTGATGAAATGTCAATGATATTTTTTACAATTAACGTAAAGAAATACCCTGCGTAAAAAAGGGCTTTGTGACTTAGAACAAAGGAAAAAACGAGTAGATCCTTGAGTAACGAAAGAGAATATTAAAAACTGGTCTTAATTGCATTGGCTTCTGAACCACTCAATGATTAATAACAGGAGAATCATGTTTCATTCGAATTCAAGAGGATTGAGTAATATCCCTCCTTAATAGATTCTCTTTGAAATATTCACGAGTCAAAGAAAATAGCTCGATGAGGTTTGAATTCCATTAAGCAAACGCAGAATTCATCGATCTGTTACGACAGAGATGATCGAGCATCGAACAAGATCGCAGACTTATTAATTCGCTGGTCGTGATTACGACATTAACTGCGTGCAAGCGATATCAGGGTAAGTGCGCGCACCGATGATCCATTATGGTTAATGAAGGTGAATCAACGTTCTGAAGCAGTTTCGAAAGCTTCGTCCGTGGTTGTCGGGAGATATCCGCGCACAGTTTATCATGTATGCGATTCAAATCAATTCCGAACGCTTTTCTCTAATTAAACTTTAATAATCCATCTCCGCTCGAGCTCGTAAATGATCAATCAAGTTTTTCTAACGCGCGCGTGTCGCTTGCCGCAGATGCAGCTGCATTTGCATCGGAATTTTCGATCCTGGGATACCTGTGATTTATGGCATCATAATGAAGCGTGTATTTCCACTTTGATCCTTTCCTGTCAACTTTGCGAAACCAAGACGATTGCGTGTACGTGCGAATTTTCACGGAAAAGAAACTACCCTAAAATTATTAGATTCTCCACACATCCAAATTTTGCACTGAGAAGGAAAATAAAAGATCAAAGAAATCTTATAGCATTTCTCATTTTCGCTAGGAATACTATAAAAATTTTAGTTGCTGATCAATTACAAAACAACGGTGCTAAGTGTTAAGATCGTCGTGGGTATATACACTCCTTTGTCAACTGTTCAGTTGCGTTACATATCTCTTTCGGTAGCAAATTTTCTTTTATTGGTCATATTACGCTCGAGTTTTACTTCTCTTCCGTTTTATATTTGTTGCATAAGCAACTGCTCGGACTGTTGCTTGCCAGGAACAGAGTCAACATTAGACATCAGCGAAAAGGAATACACTTGTCAGCAGTATCGCATGCGAGTCTTTGAATCAGCAACCATCGTACGGTAACGGTATTCATAAATGTCAGTGTGTCAATGTGTTTCGAGAAACTAGTGTACGTTTAATATGAAGGACCATCAGGGCGTATCTGCTTATATAATTATCTCGACACGTTGATCGCACTTTGCAACGTTGTAGCCTGTTTTCAGTGC